CCGGGGAACGACCTCGAATCATGGGTTCTAGAAAAAATATGAAAATAACCGGGGTGACATTGGTTAACCATAAAGAAAAATACCACGATTACAGGTGTATATATACCTGGTTAATCCGGAAAAATAATTTTAAACAAACACGGTTGTCAGTGATACAGTATTTGAGAATACTCGAAACAAGCTTGAAAGTGTTGTGACGTGTAATTCCTACCCTCTTTAAAGGTAATTTTACTTTTTCACTCTTAGTATTTAATGTAATTATTCTTGATTTAAATAGATTTTGGGTGTAAGGTATTATTTCTTACAATTATTTTCTATTATTAGATACTAACGGCGGATCTCCACCAAAAGTATTAATAGAACTCAAGATTAGGCGTGAACCCGCATCCTACTACATCTTATAGAAGTGAAACGACCCTTATTTTGAAAACAATAGAAGTAAGTGTTTCACATTTTATAACTGTAATTATCGTCCTTTCTCTAAAGCACACCGCCCAATTAATTTCAAAAACTAAAAGCTAATTTTTCTTGATTTAAATAGATTTTGAGTGTAAGGTATTATTTCTTACAATTATTTTCTATTATTAGATACTAACGGCGGATCTCCACCAAAAGTATTAATAGAACTCAAGATTAGGCGTGAACCCGCATCCTACTACATCTTATAGAAGTGAAACAACCCTTATTTTGAAAACAATAGAAGTAAGTGTTTCACATTTTATAACTGTAATTATCGTCCTTTCTCTAAAGCACACCGCCCAATTAATTTCAAAAACTAAAAGCTAATTTTTCTTGATTTAAATAGATTTTGAGTGTAAGGTATTATTTCTTACAATTATTTTCTATTATTAGATACTAACGGCGGATCTCCACCAAAAGTATTAATAGGACTCAAGATTAGGCGTGAAGCCGCATCCTCCTACATCTTATAGAACTGAAACAGCCCTTACTTTGAAAAGATTAGAAGTAAGTTTTTCACATTTTATAACTTTAATTATCGTCCTTTCTCTAAACCACAGCGCCCAATTAATTTCAAAAACTTAACCAAAAATCTATTGAATTTTAAAAAATTATGTAATTATTTTTATTAGAGAAGGATCAAAAATCTTTCTTAGGTAGTGGGTTCGTAGGTCTTCTGAAAAATTGTATGGCTTTTAACCTTTTAATGAATGAGCCCGTATAAAAACCTCCAAAAGTGTAATTTGTTTGCTCTATATAATTTCCATTCAAAGGTATTGACCTAGTCAACAACGTTTTAACCGGGGTTATTGACAACGCTTTCGTTTTATAATAATTGAATACCAACGGTTATCACTTTCTGATAAAACGTGTAAAGTTGTAAAATCAGCTGTTAAATATTTTATTATGATAAGCGACTGTTTTATTTAAAAACGTTTTTATACGGTGTAAATCATTTAAAATAATATTTATATCGGATTTTCTATTATTAACATACATATAAATTTGGTGTATTAATCCCTCCTTAGAGTAGACGGCTCGGGTAAAAGAACTATTGGTTTTTTCTGTAACAAAAATAAAGAAGAATTAGAGCTCTTAAAAAATTTAATGACAAAGACCTACCATTCAAAACAAGTAGAAAATTTAAAATTAATGAGAATAGGTATCATGTTCAACTTTATTAGTAGAAAATAGAAAATCGTTTTAATTCAAAGCCAGTACAAAGATTAATGATGTAAAATTTTTGACATAGGGTAAAAGTAATTACCTCGGGTTCTTGAGGGTATGACTCTTAAACATCCCTTACCTCCTTCGTAATTTTCTAGACCAGAATAAAATAGTGGGAAAAGGTAAAAATGAAATAAAAATTATGCTTCCCCAGTTTTTCTATTTATATTTACTTTTATTCAATTACTATTTACAGGAAATAGATTTTAAAAACAATTTTTACTAGTTCTAACTTATATGTATGTGGGGGTCGTTGTTTTTAACGTTAAACTCAGAAGGTGATAAATCGTTGGTAGAGTTGTTATTATTTTACATGATCGAATTATTCAACCCGTATGATATTTGTAAGGCCTCTTTCGGCTCTCAAAATTTCGACAAAGCTCTTGCGAAAAAATTCAAGAATTGATATATTCAATTTTTTAGATATGGATGACTTGCAATTTACACGTTTACAAACTTTCACCAAGTGGCCTCTATATTTAAACCCAAAGCCTATTCTGCTTGCAGCCGGAGGTTTCATTTATTCCGGTACCGGAGATAGATGTATTTGTATGATTTGCGGGTTATCTTTGAAAAATTGGAAATCAAGCGATATTCCGATTGATATCCACATGAAAAAGAAACCAAACTGTCGATTTATTAGTAGTTTCAATGAATTACAGAAAATGAAATTTTATCATGAAAGATTAAAAACGTTTTTAAATTACTCCAAGAAACCTAATATAGATCCATGTCGGTACGTAAGTGTTGGCTTTTATTGTAAAGATGATGAGATGAGATACATCACTTATAAAGATTTTTCAAAGTATGTAACAAGATTGGAGTCGTTTAAAAATAGACCTGTGCAAACCCATCCACTTAAAAAAGTGAATCCGCACGCTGCTTCTATAGAAGGGTTTCTGTACTCAGGTGTCGATGCCTATATTATTCATGAATCTAGATGTGATTTTATATCAGATAATAATAATTCCGATGATAATGATGAAAATGATCGTCTTCTGTGTAAAATTTGTTTAGAAGCCGAAATAGACGCCCTGTGGTCATGCGGCCGCATGTAAAGGGTGTCCCATCAAGAGCGCCGGATTTAAATTTGCCGCCATTTTGTTAATACGAGTTGCACTGTCAATTTTTTTTGACAGATGTCACCTACAGACCGCGCGATTTAAGAATATGGAGAAGTATTCAAATGAACAACGTTTAATTATTGTAAAAACACATTACAAAAATGGTGAAAGTTTTGCGAAAACAGTTCGCCATTTACGTCAAATTTTCGGTCGTCATGATGCGCCAAATGAATCGACAGTGAGGCGTTTAATTACAAAATTTGAGACCAAATTTACGCTGATGGATCAGAAGACCATTGTACGTCGTCGTCCTTGTCGGTCACTCGAAAATATAGCCGCAGTAAGGGAATCTGTGACCGAGAATCCGGGAACTTCCATTCGGCATCGTGGTCAAGAATTAAACATTTCCAGAGGCACTATGCAACGAATTTTGGTAAAAGATCTGCACTTGCATGCGTACAAGGTTCAATTGGTGCAAGAAATCAAGCCAAGAGACCATGCGCAACGCCGTGGATTTGCTGATTGGGTGTTGGAGCATCATCAAATTAATGCGGATTTTTCGAAGAAAATAATGTTTTCAGATGAGGCACATTTTCAACTCGACGGATATGTAAATAAACAAAACTGTCGGATTTGGGGTGCTGAAAATCCTCGTGTGATACTTGAACAACCAATGCATCCACCACGAGTAACTGTTTGGTGCGCATTTTGGGCTGGCGGAGTGATTGGGCCGTATTTCTTTGAGAATGCGGCTGGAAATGCGCTAACTGTTAATGGTGAGCGATATCGCGAGATGTTAACGGATTTTTTGTGGACCGAATTGGATGAAATTAATGTGGAGGACATGTTTTTTCAACAAGACGGTGCGACCTGCCACACAGCTCGTGAAACAATGGTGTTACTGCAGACTAAGTTTCCAGGCCGTGTCATTTCTCGTTTTGGCAATCACCATTGGCCACCAAGATCATGCGATCTAACGCCGATGGACTTTTTTCTCTGGGGCTATGTGAAGCAAAAGGTGTATGCAAATAAGCCTGAAACAGTGGAACATCTTAAAGAGGAAATACGGCACGTTATTGGTGAAATACAGCCTCATTTATGCGAAAACGTGATTCAAAATTTCACCAAAAGAATAACTCTGTGCCAGAGGTTTCGTGGTGGCCATTTGCCTGATGTTGTATTTCACGTTTAATCGTAACCATTTTTCTTTATGTTAAAATAAAAATGTTGACTTAATTCAAAACATAAATGTGTTTTTCCTTCAAATTAAATCCGGCGCTCTTGTTGGGACACCCTTTATAACGTGTGCAACGAAAATAAGAGATTGCTGTATTTGTAGATGTAAATTAGAAGCTAGTATACGAATTTATATTTAATTAGAACTCGATTAAAAATATTTCTTAAAGTTAATATTATTTTTAGATGCCCGCTAGTGGAACCGGTTATCGACTAGGGGCGCGCCACTGTGTTTTCTCAGCAATGTCTTGCAGTAATTGCGGGGCGTTTATTAGTACTAACCAACCTAAGTCGCGAAATCTAATTGCTTATATTTGTCATCTCTGTCGCTACGGGGTTGTTGGTTGTACCAAAACAAAGAAGATTTTAAGCCGGGCTCGAAATAGAAATACTCAACATGTTACAAACTGGTCGTAGGAAAAAGCACATGCTTAATTTCGTGGGATTAAATATCTTGAGCAGTGATTAAATCGTATTAAATTTTTAAACATTATTGTTCCAGTCAGAGTTTAAATTTATGCTACTTTCCTTTATTTTAGATGCCCTCGTGTATTAAACAAACATTTTACACGGGCCTTGTTTGCAGTATTTGTCGTAACGTTATACCGACTAAACAACGAAGGTCTCGAAATATTGTTTCCTTTGTATGCCGTCTTTGTATTAATGGCGAAGATAATTCGTCTAATAAAACGAAAAATAGAGTATTCCGCTCAAAAAATCGAAATGTCTATAACCCCACTCAATGGATGTGATGTTGATTCTGAACTATTCTAAATTCGCCGATTTTTAAATATTGTTCCAAAAACTAGTAATTCACTTTTTCAAAAAAGAAATTCAGACCACCCAAGGGGATTGATTTTTTTAAAATTACATTAAAATATTGTGACAAATAATTTTTAAATACTTTAAATGTTTTGGAGAATTAAAATATAAAATTCGCCTCTCACATCAATTTCATATAAAAGGGCGGTTTTCTACACTGACGAATATCAGTTTTTCTTTGTTTTCAGAAAAATGTCTTGGTCTTTGAAAGAAGTAAATCAAAAAAACGTTAAGAAATTTAATACTTCTTTATTCACTTATCAATTTTTGTATGATGAAACAAATCCTAAAATTGGTGGGTCACTACACACTAATTTGAGTAATATATTGGAAACTACTCTATCGAAAGCTAAAGTCCAAAGTCATTACAGTGATGGGGACAAAATACGCTTGATTGCCCAAAATCCTAAATTTAACTCGTCCATATCTACACAGTTTGATTCAAATTTAAATTTTGGTAAATTGCTAGATCAGATCGAAAATATCTTAACTTCAAATCACGATGTAAATTTGGAACAAACTACTTTTGATATACAAATATTTAAAACACCAAAAAATTAAATCATTTTTATCTTAGTTTAAATCGCTCGTATCGTTTTTAGGACATCGACGAAATTTGGGCTGATTTTTAGTTTTAGTTTTCCTCCGTAACTAGATATTTAATATGCACATCAAATACATAATCGATGTTGATGGTTTTACCGTAAATAATAAATTTAAAGTAAAAGAATTAGGTTTTTACGATCGTGACCATGAGGAGCTGGATTTAAAATATTATCGAGTAGGTGAATACTCTCTTTTGTCGAGCAAAGATCAATTTCAAGCGCGTTGGGTAAAAAATCATGTTCACGGGCTGGAATATAAAGATTTCCCCGGTGATGAACCGGAAGAAAATATTCATTATTTATTATGGGGGGTAGCAAAAGACGCTATTAATTCTGGGTCGTACATCGGTTATAAGGGTGGGCAATACGAAGCTAATCTTTTAAAAAGGCTCGGGTTTTCAGAAGTGGCTGTCAATATTGAAACCTTCGGCGTGAAAAAATTTAGCGAGATCGTTGGTGAATACCAGGATTTCCTAGAAGATTCGGTTTGTATGAAGGCGGGTACGCATATGAGCACGAACGCGAATGAGGCAATCCGAGGACGCATGAGCATACGTATGTGTACGTCTGAACGAGGCGTGCAAATTTGTTTGAAACCGTATCCATTCGGCCTCGACCCGATCCAACTGTTGTCGGTACATCAAAGTGAGGCATCGCCTCGTGCGCTGCTCATCTGTGTTCAGTGTGGACGGAAATAAAATTAATTTCGAGGCAGTCGGCAGTCCACGTGTTGTTGTTTTGGCGTGCAGTATATTTTTAATAATAATATTAGTTTCTAAATAATGCAACAATGGAATGGTCTCAGCAAAAAGTGCTAGTGCTTCTTGAAGTATATCAAAAAAGGGAGATATTGTGGAAACCAAGACACCCGTCGTACTATAATTCAATTAAAAAGGAAGACGCTTGGCGAGAAATAGCCGAGATTTTAAATGTAGAGGTTGAAGAATTGAAAAAGAAAATCGAAAGTCTTAAGGGCTCATTCAGACGAGAGAGAAGTAGAGTAAAAAAAGGAACTGGTACAGGAAAAGGTTTGTTTATGACTTTTTTGAAATTTCGCACCTACGGTGAAAGAAAGTCATACCTAACTGATTCGACTTTCCAATTTTCAAAACGAAACTCACTCATGCCAAATGAAATCAACATTTGAAAATATTAAAAAGGTTTTTTAAACATTTTTACATACCTATTATTGGCATGACTGAATTTGGAAAACTTTAAAGCCGTTTCCTCAACATTTTTAGAATCTGCAATTATGGCTTTGCTTCCCGGAGGTGCTATTTTTAATTAAATAGGAATACTTTTTAAATATTGTCAAATAAAAACCCTTTTTTTTACAGGACGTGATCAAATTTATGTTTCCAAATGGTTTGCGTATGAAAGTATGCAATTTTTAGACGACCGGGATGACCCGCAGAAAACTCTAACTGTGAGTATATTTTTTAAATTTTTATTTTGTTATTAAGTGTAATACAACCAGTAAAATAAACATGTTTTTATGCATAATTATTTTGCCAAGATACAGCTCCGTTTGTCATAAAATATTGTGCAAACTCATCCCTTGCCTCTTGACAACTAAGTTTAGTTCTGCGCGGGATATTTCTTAGGGGAAGAAAAGAGGATGTGCTTTGTTCTTCGTTTCTCCATACTCCAGGTATTATTGCACCATCTAATAATTCCGTGTCAAAAGAACCACGTGGAGTGTAAATATTTCTAGACGTTTTGCTTCTTCGTAAAAAGTTATGTAAAGACACAATAGACATTACTACAATTTTTGCCTTTTCTGGTTCCAACAGCATAGGTTTTCGCAGCACTCTAAAGATGCTAGATGCAATACCAAATGTGTTTTCGATAATTCGCCTAGCCCTACTTAATCTGTAGTTGAATATTCTTTGTGTGGAACCTTTAGGGTGATAACCAGCATATGGTTTCATAATGTTATCCTTTAAAGGAAATGCTGCATCTGCTACAAATACGTAGGGAACCAGCTTTTCTCTTCCATTTAAAGGTGAACATGGAGGTAATTTTAGCTCCTGTTTGTCTAGTTTCTTAGATAATATAGTATTGCCAAAAACACCTCCGTCAGAAATACGGCCTTGGCAACCAATATCTACGAATGTAAAATTGTAATCGGCGTCCGCTGTAGCCATCAGAACTATACTAAAATGAGATTTATAATTTATATATTCACTGCCACTGTTTATTGGTGCTTGTAAAACGACATGCTTGCCGTCAATCGCCCCAAGGCATTTTGGAAAATTCCATTTATTTTCAAATTGCTGCGCAATATGTGCCCACTTTTCCTCAGTTAGAGGCATCTGAAAAATAAAAACAAATGTTTTATTACAGCTATTTTTTTGTAAAATTTCGTTTTTTATATTTCAGAATGCAATCGACGAAAGTGATGGGGTAGAGTCAGATGGCAACACGGAACAAGAGCAAACAGAAAAAGAACACACGGAACAAGAGCAGATTGCAGGTCATCCTGACGCGACACATAATTCAAATGCGAATATAGAAAGTTCACTGTTGTCAAGCGAGAAAGCAGAAAGTACTGTGGAACCAAAAAAACTATTTAAATCGCCACAGAAACGCTCTTGGTCAACAACAAAAGTAAAGGAAGATCCAAGACTCACTATGGCATTCAACTATCTTGAAAAGAAATCTGGAGTCTCTGATCTACCTAAAGATGACTGCCACCTTTTTGCAGATTATGTCGCTAATAAAATAACAAAATTTAATGACAGATATCGCGCAACCGCTCAGCATAGGATAAGCAATGTTTTGTTCGAACTAGAAATGGAACAGTACAATTTCCCTCGAGGTCGTCAAGAATATTATCCTCAACAATTGCCCCATTGTGCTCCAACAATGCCAAGGAGTTCTTCACCACTTAGTACAGCAAGCAGTAGTTCCACAGGAGTACCACAATTGTCACCTCATGACAATAATACAGTAACCGGTTATTCTCAAAGATTTTCAGAAGATTGTCAACAATTGCCGCATTGTGCTCCAACAATGCGAAGGAGTTGTACACCACTAAGTACAGCAAGTAGTAGTACCACATCAGTATCGCAATTATCACCTCATGACAATAATAGTCTAACTGGTTTTTTTCAAACATTTTCAGAAGATGACGATTCCTTGCTGAATTTGTAAGCGTTTATTATTAGATTTGCAGAATCTCACATTTTGTTTTTAAATACTTACGTATTATATTTTCACTTATGTTTTCAATATTTTTTCGACAATCATACTAAATGAGTAAATGAGGCACTTTCCCAAAAAAATTTTTGTCGCATGATTGTCCACAAAATACTTTAAACAATTTCGTTTCTTTTAGAATAAATGTTTATTTTAACTAAGTGTCTGTATTATTATTACTTACCTGAACATAGTCACTCAAACACTCGATAATTGCTTGACATACTTCTGGTACTATTTCGGAAATTAACTGTTTGGATACCTTGAAAAGATATTGCAAACTTGTAAACGAATCTCCTGTAGCAAGAAACCGAAGAGTCAGTGCCAGCCTTTCTTCTGCTGGAATAGCCTTTCTGTACGACGTGTTTTGTCGCTCTATTCTTGATTTTATACAATTTAACAACAAAAAGAAATCTTCTTCTGACATCCTGGTAAAATTTTTAAAGAACCCACTCGTTTTATTATCGGCCAAGAGATCTTTTAATAAACCGGTGTTATTTTCAGTTAGTTGTCTTTTTCTATTCAGATATAATTGCGACGACCATCGTTTTGGTTTCTTCTTCTTTTTCTTTTTTAATAAACTACTTAGAATTATAAAATACGCAGCACGTTCAGCGTCATCAGAATCTGAATCGGCCATATTTATGCACTACTACTATACATAGAAAATATGCTCACCACATTTATGGATCGATTCCGTACAACGCCTCGTGCGTCCACTATTCAGGTCACCCAAAAAATTATTTCTTCCCGAGGCTGAACCAAATCCGAGGCAGATGGTTCGGCCTCGGATTGCCTCATTCGCGTTCGTGCTCATATGCGTACATTCGTAGAGACATTCCTTGGTGATAGACAAAAAGTCGAAGCAATATACAACTCCTCATTGTCCGCGATTAGAAGTTTTATGTTTTCATAAGTATTTGAAAATGTTAAATATCTAATTTTGGATAGTTTTAAGAATTTTTATCTTTCTAAAAAATTAGCAATATGGATAGTTTACTTATTTTAAAAAAGACTGTAAGGGTTGTAATATGTAAATATTGTAGTAAACCACTAATAAACTCAAAGACCTATTTTAAACATCTTAAATCACATTTCCGCTGCGGGTTATGTAAAATCAAATTTGTCTCGGAAAATAGATATCTCAACCATCGTTGTAAATTTAAAGAATATTGTCACGTGCGACTAGAAATAATGTGATTAAAATTGAATCGAGCAAGTGTTTTGTGCGTTTACTTAATTTTTATAATTTGTGGTTTTTATTATTTTTCAGTATGTCGTGGCATTTAAAGAGTGTAAGCGAAGACCGATTCATTCAAAAATTTCAATCATATTTATCGACTTTTCAACTTACTACCAAACAAACCACGAACAATTCGCTTAATATAAACAATTTACGAACGGTTCTAGAAGAAAAATTAAACACCGTAAAGACTCGAGCGGGTTTTTTACCAGGCGACCGTCTCCGGCTAATAGCTAGTAATTCAAAATTCAATCATCCTATTTCAACTGAGACTGGTACAAATATAAATTTTAATAAATTATTGGATCAAATTGAAAATATTTTGACTTCAGATCAGAACGTTAATATTAATGGAACAATTTTTGATATACAGCTTTTTAAAATACCCCGGTGTTTTGGTCGTACCAGAAAAATTCTCAATTTAACGAAAGATAGACATGCAAAAAAAGTATTACTGTAATTAAAAATCATGATAATCTTTGCGCGCTGCGATCGATAATAACGGCCCTTAC